TATATATACATATATGTATATATACATATACATATATAGAGTAGGGAGGGACACATAGGCTCAATTTGACTTTAAGCAATTGTATTGTGAAAACCAAACCAATTATCTCACAACAAATATTCATATCAAACAAACAACTATCCGACTGTGTCAGTAAAATTCCAGCTAATTCGTCATGTAGAACTTATTTGCTGTTTTTCAAAAATTTGTAAGCTGGTTCTTTTACCCCATGGGGTAAATTGGGACGGCCAGGGAGCAAACAGGTCCAAATATCTTATTTAATTTTAATGGGATTTTACAATATAATAGCTACATTATAAAATTTCAACCAATGCATAAATAAATAATTTTATGCGTGCATTTTTACAGAGACAACACTGTGAATAACTTTGATTTAGTATTTTGTCAGATATATTCATCAGCAGATTTGAAATAACTATTTATTTAATTTTTCTCTTTTAAAATTGCTCTTGTTAACTTTTTTATTTGCTATTTCTATTTTTACACTTTTGCAAACGTAAAGGTTTAGTTTGTCTTTTTTGCCCCATCCAGGTGTGAGCTTTTATGAAGGTTATATAAAAAAGCTGTTTGAATTTAACTTAAAAATAACAATACATCTTATAAAACAATGAAATAACGTATACTTGAAAAATTATATAAAGGTCTCGTAAGCTAAGCAACAGTGTTAAAAACCAAAACAATGTGATTTTTGGTTTTACATCTTTTTCTCTCTACTTTCAAATATAGTTGTTAAAAAAAATTCGAATTAAAAAATGCTTGTTCGAATTCCATAGTATTTGTGTATTGCATATGCGATTCAATAATATAAATCTCATTTACTAACTAATTGTAAGATATTCTTACATACAGGGCCGGTCCTGCCTTAGGGGCGCCAAAACGAGTTTCGGAAATTAAATTTATAATATAATATTTATATTTTTTATATAAAATCTAGAATTATTTATTTAAAATCTAGAATACTTAATAAATTATAATAAATAATTTAACTTAACTAGGGATACGGAGACACTAAAAGCATATTTATTTTGCAATGTGATATCAGTAGAAACAATCAACCGATTAATAGTTCTGCAAATTAGTAAATAACAGCTCTGTTTATTGCCTAATCTACTTATTCAATTTTTTCTTTGTTTGAAGTTACTGTGGAATCGAAAAAGAAATTATCTAGTGTTCAATCCCATAAGCGCAAACCTGCGAAAGATTAAATTAATTGTTGGGCATTATTGACGAAAAATTGCGAGCTAATTTAGTTGAATCGGAACTTGTTAAAAATTATAAACAAATTATAAAAAATGGGGGTCAGTGCTTAGAAAATGTCTTGTTTATTCCGAGAAATTGAATTGTAACTTTTGCTTTAGTTGCAAATGTTTCGCATCTGTTGAACTTTGAATGTTGAAGACATACGTGGAACAAATATGAAAAATGGAAGCAAAATTTACTTTGGAACGAAAATTTGGATATTGTAAATGATGAAAAATTAAATTAAATTAAAATTTAAAAAATCCAACATGAAATACGAGTGTTATGTTTGAAAATTAAATCGATTAAATATTACATACAAATATAACATACGTTAAAAATAATTGAAAAATCCAAAATACTTGATTATAATCAACCACCGAATTGCCTCGATTTTCTAAATAAATTTAGAATCAATATATTTTATACGCTTTTAGATTATATCTAATTTTTTGTGCACTAAATCCAGAATAATTAAAAATTAATTTATTTATTTCACTCAATATTTTTGTTAAATTAAAGTCATACAATTTAAGAAATGCATTTCAGAAATACTATTTATTATTTTGATATCAAGATCTTTACATCCTTAACCAATTTACTACATATTGAACATTACTAAAATATGAAATTACGACAGGGATTGTTTTATTTATTGATATCTATAATAATAAATACATTTAAAATCAATATATTTTATACCCTTCTAGATTATATCTATTTTTTTGTGTACTAAATCCAGAATAATTAAAAAATAATTTTTAAAAAATATGTAATATTCATATAATTCTAATGATAAACTGTTAAAACGGTGAAAATTATAAATAAAAACGGGGGGGGGGCGCTAGAAAAAAAGTTGCATGCGACCCCAGGACCGGCCCTGCTTACATAGGTATTGTCATATTTTGAAAGGGTATAGAGTTGGCTTCTGCAATAACACTTGGAGTCATTTTTAATATATATATATATATATATATATATATATATAAGTGTATATTCAATTAATCTTAATGAATGTAATGCATCTTATTAACCAAATCGGTTTTGGAAATTTTAGATTCCTATTAGATTGCCTTAGTTACGATAGAGTACGCGTGGAACATATTTGTAATAAAAACCCTATTTAAAAAGCTTATCTCGATATAAATTCTCATAAAGTTTAAAAGGTGTGAATTGGTTTGGTAAAATATATTATGTGGATATATCATCTCGGACTATCCAGCACTATATAGTTATTGGTTCCACGTAGACGCTTCGAAACCGCAATAAGTTTACCTAGCACGGTCTTGTTGACTTAACACGTAAGCAACCGTTCTATCTTGAGAATAAGTGGAAATATAGCTGCAATTCTTGGAAAGCCTTACATGCTTATCATAACTTATAACTATATGATTAGTTGCTCACCACGTTCGATTTCGTCACTTGACGCAAACTTAAATGTTTTTGTAAATAACTTCCACTCGGCTCTGTTATTGCAGTGTTAATGATTTCGCACGTCGATGCAACAAATATATTATAATTGAATTACATTAACCTGCACAGCGCGTCGTCAACCTGTTTGTAAACTTGTAGAAATCAACTTTTAATATCATGCAAATTGCTTGAGATCTTCTTTATATTGATAATATTAGGTGAACTAATATTAGTTGTGTATTTGTCTTGTAACAACATGCAATCATAACGAGTTCAATAAGCTTTGCTGATTGGATTTAATACGTCGGTTTTACAGTTGGCAACTCAAAACAGTTATTCATCTCTGTGTGATGAATTTTATTTATTACAATTCCTATAATTTATTGATGCATCAATAAGCGATATCTTCAGTTGGAAACAACGTATTGCTATTTATATCTCCTAGTGAAAACCGATGTCACCACTGCTTGACATCAAGCTGTTCGATGCTGGATCGAACTCGGGACCTGTATTCAGGTCTAGTCGTTCTAATCACTTACCTACGAGCAAGCCAAAGATGAATAAAATAAAAAAAAAAAAGAATTTTACTCGTTCAGTATGGATCTACGGATATTAAAGATGTTTTAAACTAAAATCGCATATCATTTTATACGTATATATATTATTATTAGTTATGTTTAAAGATCGGGCGTTACATCAAATCAAATTGGATGATTATTCTTTGAAAATTTATTTGAAATTTATTCAAAAAATCGTAAAATAATATAATATAATATCCTTGTATATTTTAATCAAATATAGTACATATGTGGCATTCTTGACAATGTATGATTTTTTTTCATATAAATTAGTTATTTAATTTTTAAATATATAATCAGGTATGATTACATTATTTTTAATTTACCTAAACCAAACATATATAATTGAATAAAACGTAATGAAATATAAGTTGCGCTTATTCAACCTACATAAACATTTTACAACGTATACAAATAGTATCTAGTAAATTAGATATTATTTTAAATAGACGCTAAATATAAAAAGATATTTGTTTTAAATCGAAAATTCATTTATAAACATTGATTCCAAACAGCAGATGTTATTTTCTGTGCAATCTATTAATAGCTACACATTATAAAAGAGTTTCAATTATTTCTGGCAGTTGAAAAGAGTTTTGTTTTGAAAATTCCTTCTAATTCTATCGCCGCTTTTCTCTGAGGCGACCGAGAAAATCCTTGCGGTTTTAATATTTCAATTTACGACTAACAAACGAGATGGTTTCTATTTTGAAAAGCGTGGCAATTCATTGAGTTTGTCTTAAAATAAATTATTCCATATTCTACATTTAAATATTTCTTGTTTGTTATTACTGGAAGGTTTAGAACTGTATTATAGATTCCAATGTTGTTTATATTATATATATATATATATATATATATATATGCGCGTGTGTGTATGTATGTATATATACATGTAATTTGTAATTAACAAGAATATAAATTGCAATCTTTGAAATATGCAAACTGTTGCATCTTTACAAATTATACACACAGTTTTCTAAACCTCTTGTTATTGTTCACGTGCAAAGTCAAAGTATTATGAATATATAAACAAATAACTTTTATTTATCTTTAGATTTATTTTAAATTGCAGTATTTTGACGAGGACAACGCAGCCAGTTCACGTAGTTGCTGTAGTGGCCGTACTTCTAATAAGTTCTTTGGTTTATCCATCTCTAGTTCACAGTAACCATCGGTTACAACCGGAGCCAATGGTTCATGAGCAAAGTACATTCGCCAATTTGTTATATTTAGCTGCATTCTGCACTCACTTTGGTACACAAGTTTGGATGACATTTGTCTCAGTTAGGTTAGTATTACATAAGGCTTTGGTACATTTTTGTATATTCGAATTACATCAACGATCTCAACAACTTTTGCTCTAATGGGTTTGTCTCAGCTTTGTTACTGCAAATGTATCGTTCGCGTTGGACATCTGTTATTTATTTGGCCTTTTACCAAATCGCGCCTGACATGGCTCATGTAGCTTCTTAAAGTCAGACACATATGACTGACATAGCGATTAACGAGTTAATTAATACGTCACTTGATTCTAAACTATTGAAAAATGTATTAGTTTCATTACATATATGAGTTAATCGAACTCATTTCTTATAATAGTTTTATAAGTATTTTATGTGTATAGCTAAAGCCCGGAGCACACGGCGCCAGTATTTCATGTAACAGGATTTCTGTAAAGTTTTCTAGTAAGGTGAGCAAGAATTTTGCACCAGATTTTCACTTATTTTGTGATTAATAATAATTTTGTGCATTTTCAAATAGATTGTTATAAATATATACTGTGGATATGACAATTCATATTTTATGGTCCTAAAATGCACTAATGCTTATAAGCGTACAAACAGAGCATTGTATAAAATGTAAACAATAAACAAATATGCAGTGCTGGATTTAGGGGCAATCGGGGCTACTGCCCAGGGCGGCAAATTTTTGGGGGCGGCAAAATTTGGATAGTGAAAAAAAATTCTATACAATATAATCAACTTTTTTTAGCAACATTTTTATTTCAAGAAATATAATTAACAAAACAAAATACGATTGCGATGCAAAATTTGGGGTTGAAATAACCGATTATTGAAATTTATTATTTTGCCTTGCCTCCCTCACCGAACGTAAATTATCAAATTGGTTAATAAGTCATTATCAAATTTGTCAATTTGGCTAATATAAAGATCCGTAAACAAGCTGAAAGTTTAAGAAAAATATTTTCTTCAGTTCTCGAGCCTTCTTAAAATGACGATTTCTGCACTTCCAAGCTTATAGCTTTAAAAAAATTTAAACTAGTGACGCATGGTATTGTGCCTTAAGACAAATTATTGAAACATCCCGTACTGAAAATTACATTTTATAAAGAGCTTTAAAATTGAAAAAAAAAAATGAAAATGAAAAAAAATTGACTTTTAAAACACTTTTTTTATTTTGAAAATATGAACTTTTTGCAAAGCAATCGCGCTGCGTAGCTGTTTCAGAGAAGAAATATCAAATCAATCACAATACCATTTTTCGTAATTCGTGCCAAAACTAATCAGCACGTCTCCCCATCAATACAAATCTAATATTTTTTAATTATTCAAGTGAACACGGATCAACCGATTTAAATGATTCAATTCCTATTGTTAAGAAGACGTGCTGATTAGTTATTGGCCAAGGCAGGTCCAACTGTTCTAAAGATACGGGCCAAAATGCCAAAAATGATAATTAGTTGTTGAGAAAAGAAGCGTCCAATATCATTCAAAAAAATTTATAGAATAAATAACTGCTTAAATTTGTGGGAGGCAGGTTTAGCGGTTTCGATAATCCAATAAAAACAATTGAAAAAAAACATTTAGTGGACAAAAGTGATCATAAGACATATGCACATCAAATTATCAGATATTTTAAAAATATTTTAATAATAAGTATAAATTTTGTTTATATTTATATGGGTTATGTAACATTGTTTATTCGTTAGACTGCGGCGCGGCGCTTACGCGCTCCTATATTTTGTCCCTACGCAGCTGAAGTAGCGCGATTGCTTTAAAAAAAGTTTGAAAGTTCGTAAAATTTCAGGGATGGGGCGGCATTTTTGCCAGTGCTCCGGGGCGCCAAATTTCTAAATCCGGCCCTGCAAATATGTATCGTATCCGATTAGAATGAATCTATAAGATGATTTAATTTCATATTTTCAAGAACTAAATGATATAATAATAATGAAAAGATAATAAAAAAACTGCAGTTTAACATAACAAATATTGATTTTTAAAATCAGTATCGGATAATTGAATAAAATCAGTAAATCTTTATCAGATAATTAATATTGATATAAAAATATTAAAAAGATTATGAAAAGTTTAGTAAAAGTTTCATGTAAATTTAGTATTATGAAATTTCGAAAATTTTGAAATTTAAAAAAATATTACGAGTGAAATTTACATTTGTTCGCTTTTTTTTTTAATTTTCAGTATTTTTGCAAATTTCGATTTTTTTTAAATAAAACGATTTAAAATTTGTTTTTATTTTTTTTATATTTTCGAAATTTTTGAAATGCATATTTGATTTTTTTCAGAAATTTGAATATTTTAAAATTTGTACTGAACTGCGTTTCCCAAAAACTAATCGTTTTTTCACATCGCTATATATACACAATAACTAATAACAAAATAAAAACTGAACGCTTCCAAAATCGAAGTACGTTAATCAAGTACACATTGATATTTACCTGGCAAAATACGGCTTTCCTATTGGTCACTGAAAGTATCGGCCACAAAACAGTTCATCCATCGCCGAATAGAACATGCTCTATTCGTAAAATTCAGCAGGAATTTTCGAGGACAAAAGATATTGTGAAATCAGTTTCCGATGTTGCTAAGCAAGGGTTATAGACAGAAATTATGTTAAGGATACTGCCGTTGTGAATAGAGAGCTTAAACGTGAAATCTGCCTAGCAAGATCGTAAAATATGTCGGGCAAGATGATTTATCATATCGTTGCTAGGTAACAAACTGTCCGGCATCAGGACAGGAATTCTGGCGTCGTGTGCACCGGGCTTAGGGTAGACCATACCTTCTAGTTTAGCCGGGGCAGTCCCGAAGTTCCATCTTTCTAAAGCAATATTTTTATAGGGTTTTTCTAAAAGCAATATTTATTCCGGTTTTATATCTTTTGTCCCGGATTGTCTACGGTTTTCGAAAAGTATAGGTTTAAATTATTTGATAATAAAATTATAACTACCCACCAAATGTCTGAGAATGATATGTACAATGAGTTTGCTTATACGAAACAATACGTTTATGAATGAAAAATTTACGAATACAAAATTCCAAAAGCGGGTTTAATTACCTCATTAATAATTGGAACTTTTATTTTCAATTTTACAAAAATTAGCAAAAATTATGAAAACGAACTTTTTGACTAATAGGCACAGGTGCTAATTTTTTCAAATTAATTATTAAGAAAATTGAACAAAATTTTATACGAGGCTCAAAAGGAAAAAGACATATAGATCGATAAATATAAGATACAAGAACAACATCATATAGGTAAAAGAAGAGTAGGTATTTTGTATAATAAAGTTCTCATTAAAAGCTCTTAATTCTGATTGAAAAAAAAATGATTCATTTGAAAAAAAAAATTTTATTATATCCATTAATAGTATTTTTAAATTTAAAATCATATTTAAGTTGTTTAGCATAAAGCTCCTTCACCTGGATTTGTCCTGGAGTGGCATAGCTAAAAATTGCAGTCCCGGTACTCAAAATATGGTCACCTTAATATAACTAATGCAATTAGATAATATACACATGCGTTTGAGATTTTATTTTATTGTGATCTTTGAATTACTTTTTGAACATATAAAACTTGCTGGAGTTGGCACACTTCCAACTCAATGAGAAAAGTTCGTAACAAGGTTTTAAAGTGGGCATTTGTGTTATGTATTTATATAGTTTAGTGCATATTAGCGTTATTTTCTGAAATTGAATGGAACAATAAATCGTTATTTATTAACTTCTCGCAGGGAAAGTTATAGTAATCGCAAAAAAATCGAAAATGAAATTTTTTATATATCTTCACGTTTCAAGGCCTTCTGAACATTTTGGCATGAAAAAATGGACGTATATGTGTGTGTGTGTTTGGATACAAATTTTCGTCGACGATTTTGTGAACACGGATCAATTGAATAATTCAAAATTAGATTGTATTGACGGTGAGACGTGCTGATTAATTTTTGAGAGAGGCAGGTTCAGCCATTTCGAAGATTCGGGGCAAAAAGTACCAAAAATGGTAATTCAGTGCGATTACTTTGAAAATATGTTCAATATTTTCAAAATATAATATATTTTTTTTTCAAAAAAATGAGTTTTCCAAAATTCTCAAAAATTTAATTTTTTTCAAAGTTTTAAAAAATTCAATTTTTGGTACTTGGAGTCACAGCAATTTGTCTTAATGCACGATGCCATGTACCACCAATTTATAAATATTTTAAAAAATAAACATCTTAACTTTCTTTTTTAATAATTATTGGTATAAATGTTAAATCGGTCCCCATATGTAACTGTTCCAATTAAGCTTTGCCAATAAACTTTTTTTCGGAATATTACTGAATTAAATTAGATCTTCTTAGATAATATAAAATGTATAATTGTATGTAATTTTCAGGTCTGGCGTTATACTTCTCGCTTCCGAGACACACGTTTGGGCTCTGCCAGGAAGTTTTGTTCCCGAAATATTTCGCGTTAAACGCTGCGCTCAGTGCCGCAACCCTTATTCTGTACGCGCGTCGAGGTGCAACCACCGATTCGGTGCAACTGTTCGCTCTTGCATTCTGCACGGCGCTTGAGCTGGGCGTGCGCTTGTATTTAGCGCCGCCGATTTTGCGTCTGATGCGCGCCAAGAACGCCGTTGAAGCAGCGGCAGGAATCGGGAATGAAGTGGGCCAACTAAACGCTGGAGAACTGATAAAGAAGTGTCCACATTATGCGTCGCTGCACCGTGCGTTCAGAAGCGTACATGTTGCTGCGGCAGCAGCTAATGTCATGGCTATGGCTTGCACGTTTGTGCATTTGCATCATTTAGCTGGTAGGATGTCGGGTCTATGAGATGCAGAAGTTACTGTGCCATTTAGAGTGAAAGTAGTCGTGTGAGTAATCACATTTTTATGACACTTTATTTACAACAATAGCGATTCAGATTGCTATGTTAAATTATAAATATCATTATATAGCAGATTTTTGTTATAATATAGTTATAACTGAGTCACTTACTTAATGATTGTGAATTATCATCATTGGTACATAAGCATTCTACAAGAAAAGTTGTACTGTTTTATTTTAAATCTGCTATATTTTAAAAATCTTGATATTTCTTTCTGAATTGGTTCACAATTTTGAATAATTTTATTGTGACACTTTATAGAACCATTCTGAAAGTGTTTTCTTAACGATAATGACATTTATATGATGTAGTTAGTTTTAAAATATCATAAGCACTATAAATTATCTAGTGATCTTTTTAAATATTTTCTTAATATATTTTCACAAGCATTGTATAAAATTCATGGTATTGAGATAAGCGAGTAAATTCTAAAGTAATCATTACGTTCACACTCTTATTAATATGCTGAAAGTTAAATAAAATTAACACTTTAATATTGTTTGTAATTTTATCAAGTCAAAATGATCCACAAAATTATTTATTATCAGTATTATTATTTATATTATACAAACTAAAGGTGCTTGTTATATTTTTGTAAACAAGTATTGTCGAAAGATAAATCTTTAAAAATCTATTAATTTATATTTTTTTTTTTTCTCAGTGCCTTTATTATATTATTTTTGTGTTTTATATTATAATAAATATATTTTCAATTATTGCACATATTTGCAAACTTCGATGTGTTTTAAATATAAGAAATATTTAAATTTAAAAGCTCTCTTATATTAATAATAATAGGATAGTTAAATGATTTTCTTTTGTAATGTTAACAATTATTGGTTTAGAAAGACAATGTGATATGTTATTTATTTATCTGAAAACTATTTACATGTTTATACAAATTATTCTGTAATATTTTTGGCCTAATATAATTTCATGTACAATTTGCTATATATTTATTCAAATACTTTCTCAATTTTAATCTCAAACGATGAATGCTATGTGATGTGATATAACTTTGATCAAAGATTATAATGTATTTTTGAGCACTAGCAATGATTATTTAAAAATAGAAGATTATGTTATAAATTAAGAACAAAAAATACAAAATCTCATAGTTTATGGTCTTGAATCAAACAATTTTAGATTTATGAGAAATAAAGAATATTAGTAAGATGAATTAGTTATAAGAGTTATAAAAGTTTGTTATTTATAGTTAGGAGTTATAAAATTGCCATCACATCACTTTTTTATTTATTCATACAATTGAAATAGCATTAAGTGGATGATTTTGCTCAGTATTATATGATGTTTTTCTGTGTGTTATGAAAATATCATTCTATTTATATTCATGTTAGGATACATGCTACATATAGAATAATTACAAATAGTTTAAAAAATAATTAATATCAATATTTTTACACATATGCTAGTCATTTTTGAAAATATTACAAAACGAATAATAATTACTCTATCGACACAGCAGTAGTGTTGGAATTTTATATGATGTTCTATAAAGTAGTATGCCTTCAATATAAATTAAAAATCAGAGGAGTATTTATTGACTAAACACTGAATTGTAAATATGTGTATAAATTAATTAGTACAATTATTAAAAAATAAATATATATATATAATACATAAAATAATATTTTCACTTTATGTTTTTAATAAAACTTCCATGGGTAGTACTGCCATAATGCAAGTCCGTAAGCTGAGTTAACTCGATTCAGGGAAGAATAGTGTGAGAGGTTTCTCATTGCCATCTCACACTGCAATTTCATTACTTGATGCAGGTTGTCCAGAGCAAGATTTGAACTTACGACCCTGTCCACACAAGTCCACGAGCTTGACTAAAACACCATGGAACAATCAAAACTACCACACTACATATAATATAAATAATAATTTTATTTACATTCTTGTAAATAATAAATATAATTTTATACACAAAAGCAAAACGTAATCAAGAAATTGATGGGCAAAAAATTTACTGGTAAAAATTTATTTAAAACTATGGTGACTATACGACCCAGTTTGGCCGGGACAGTCCTGGATTTGCAGCTTGTGTCCTGGGTTTTCCTAAAAACAATAACTGTCCCGGATTTTGATTGTTTCTTTCTCCCAGATTGTTTAGAGCTTTTAAATATTATAGGTAAATTTTCGCAATTATAATAAAATTACAACGCAAAATACCAAAAATTATAAAAACAAACTTTTTGACTGTCTGGCACAATTGTACTTACATTTACTAACAATAAGTTAATTATGAAGAAATTGAACAGAATTTTATGCAAGGTTTGAATAAAAAAAAACGTTCAATTATCTTGAAGTTTAATTGAATATAACATAAAATCGAATAAAAAGTCCTACTAAAAGTTAGTTTCAGTACCACTAAAAAAATTTGATTCTTTTTAAAAAAAACTGATTTTTAAAATACATATCTATCTTTAAATAATACATATATGTATAAGGTCTCTTTGGATTCAAATCACTTAAAGGGGGTATTCTAGTGTAGAAGTTCAAAAAAATGTTTTTTTTTTGTTTCATATTTTCAAAGTTTAACTATCTAAGAATATGAGTACTACCATTTGAATTATTTTCGGAGATATGAGCATTTTACTGACCAGGTCTCCAATCTGGTTTGGCAGAGTCTAATCGGACAAAAGGCATTAGGAAGTCATTAGATCAATTTATGATAGTTTATCGTCAGATGAATTATGAATTGGATGTTTAAGTTCAGAAACTTGGATCAATAATGGATAAAAATACGTTTTTCTCAGAACAGACTTTTTCAGTGCTGTTGCCACGATTTCTCGAGTTCTACTCGACCGATTCACTTGAAATGTTGAGAGAGTCGTGTTTATAGTCCTGTCTGTAGCCCGAACTAGTATCATCCCCAAATTCCAATTTTCACTATTTTTAGAAATTTGATAGACTCAAACAAACAGAAAAAAAGCACTTTTTTTCAAACAGTCGCCCATTTGTAAAAAAAAACTCATCGCTCGCTCGGGCGATTGCGATATCATTGTAGATTAATAATCTTTTTATTTCTTTTATTTAGGATGTCTAGGAGGGCTAAAACCATGTCAAGACGAGGGGCCAATTTTTTTGAGACCCCCCACTTCATCTGCTGCAGCTTTTTTTCAACTTTTTTCAATTTTTGTTTTGTATTTTAATAATATTAATAAACAAGTGGTAAAAAAATTGATAGTAAAAACTAGGGTAAAAACATTCATTGCTTTCTTTTACGGCACTTTAAAAATTACCTAAAATTGAATGAATCCATTGCTCTACACTAGAATACCCCCTTAAGTTCTTCCACCTCCATCACGGATTAGCATAATTATATAATTATAAAGTTGCTAGGACGGTTTTTATATAAAAAATATAATATATATTATATATTATATAATATATTCTAAAAAAAAGTGTTTTTCTTTTGTTTACAACTTTCATAATTAATGAGAGGGTGATTTCACTTGTTTTTTGTTTAATTTTATTGAATTTTTGTGTTTGACATCAGTCAAAAATCGAAATTTGGATTAAAGTATTAAACGAAATAAAAAATATGAAAAAATATATGTTGGTAAGTGCAAATTAAGTGGTATATAGATTAAGTATATATTAAGTGATATTTTTCTCTTAAAAGAAGATAGAAGAAGATTTTACGTTTTCAGTCAATAGTTTAGATGAATTTTATATGACAGTTGGTTTCTATTTTATTTTGGCTCCAAACCATGTGTGAAAAAATAATTAAGCGAATAAATATCTTGAAGTTTAAGTGAATAATATCATAGATAAGTAAACAGAATAATATTATATCCTAGATAATAGAATAATATATAGTGATAATGATAAATAATAATATATAATGATTATATATTCAAATTGTGTCTAGGGTGAATAATCTTGATTTTAACAGTTTATGGCGAATGGTGCCAACATCCAAAATAAACCGAACGCAATATCACAAATCATCAATTGGCGAACTTCACTCTGTTGCGTCTGAACTCTTTTGTCATTTTATGTTGTGTTTGTTCATTTGCTACAGCCGGTATGGTAAAGATTCCTAAGGAGGAATTTTAGACTGATTACTCGCTAATGCTTTGTTGTCTTATTACATGTTGCTTGTAAACATTTAATCGGTCTTATTAGTTTTTAAAATAATTCATAATAATGGCGAGTGTTTCATATCAAATTTCGAATCTTTTGGAGAAGGTACGTTGGATATTGTACAAGAGAATTAATATTCTAGATAATGTTATTTTCTTAAACTTGTTGATTTACTTCGAATATCTTTCTCAAAACACATGAAATTTTCTTCGTTTCCAACGCAAGCATTTTCATCAAATAAAACTTGCAAATAGGTTATAGTTTTTCATTTACTTTTAGATGGCCTCCAATGACAAAGATTTTCGATTCATGGCCACTAATGATCTTATGAGTGAGTTACAAAAAGATAGTATAAAGCTGGATGATGATTCCGAGAAGAAAGTTGTACGTATGGTTCTACGACTATTAGAAGATAAAAATGGTGAAGTTCAAAATTTAGCAGTGAAATGGTGAATATTATTATAAGCTTAGAATAAATAATACAACTAAGACAATGAACAGTTGTATAATATTTAAATCATTGCTTTAAAGTTGGGTTTTGCTGCGAATATTGCATATTTTGTGACATCACAAAATGGCTTCATAAATGAACTTGCAACCTTTATGATTGCAATAATAATAATTGATATCTCACTATAGAAAAGATTCTGGGTACACTGAGACAAAACATTGTCATAAAAGAACTATAATCAATTATACTTGCACATTGATGTGATTTTTGAATTATCTTAATGATTTCACTATTTTCTTATAAGTAAAAAAAAAACAATGCTTACATTCTTGACATAAGCTCAGAGTTATTCTATATTCATAAATTTCATTTTATTACCATGATCAAGATGTATTTTATAACATTGTGATAAAGCAGTAATAAGTATGTGACAAAATTTCTGTGAATTCATTGTAAATAAGTAAAATATCACATTAAAAAGTTTTAAAGAGCATAGTTTACATAAGCTTTCAACAAAAGAAGTTAAATTCTTATAGTTTAAAAGGTTTTTATTGACTTTTGTAAATAATGATAACTTTCTTGTTTTTAGTCTTGGTCCGCTAGTGAACAAAGTGAAAGAATGTCAAGTTGAAACAATAGTAGATTCCTTGTGTGGTAATATGGTTTCAAGTAAAGAGCAATTGAGAGATATTTCAAGTATAGGACTAAAGACTGTGATTTCTGAGTTGCCACATTCGACTGGCACTACAGGTCTTGCTGCTAATGTATGCCAAAGAATTACTGGTAAACTTAGTACAGCCATTGAAAAGGTTAATACAACTTAAAAGTTAAAATATGAAAAAGTATTACACTATATAATATGTTCCCACATTCAGCAAGAAGATGTGTCTGTACAACTGGAGGCATTAGATATTTTATCAGATCTGTTATCAAGGTTTGGAGAATTGTTAGTACCATTTCACACATCCATTCTGCGTGCTTTAATGCCTCAGTTAGACTCTCCGAGACAAGCAGTAAGAAAACGTGCTATTGTGGCTTTATCACATGCTTTAACATCTTGCAGTCCAGCATTATATAACAAGGTATGTCACTCTATATAAATATCATTCGCTATGTGTGTATGTATGTATGTATGTACATACATATATACATATGAAAGTATATATATACATTTGGCTGTATATATACATACATATATATATATATATATATATATATATATATATATAACAAGTAAAACAGTTTAAATAAGCTTTATTTATCCATACGTTTTGATCTACATGGAGACCGTCATTAAGTGCGACTACTAGAGAGTTTTTATAATTGATTTAAAAAAAAAAAAATGTAAAGATATAGGACTTACAGTTAAATACTTAGAACATTACACTACACTAATTAATACCCAGCTAATAAAAAGTGATGTAATTATTATTAAAAATTATTAATTTGTTATTATAAAACAAAATATAACAAACAAAATTTATATTTGAACTATTGATAGTTTGGTATTACATTTATGTTTAGTGTAGTGAACTGTTAATTTTTGTCTGTGATTATTTATCTGTAAGTCTTTACATTTATTATTATTATGTATATTCCGTATAAACGTATGGATAAATTATGTATATTTCCTAATTGTTTTAGTTTTTATTGTTACTTGCTGCTAGTGCCCTAATCAACACACTCTTAATATGTATCAACACCAAGTTTACATACTCCATATATATGTATAGATATATATGTAAGTTTTTATATAGTGATTCATCAAAGAAAAAAAACAAAGATTTATAAATTAATCTTTAATTCCAAGCATTTTGACGTTCAATTTAATGTCATCATCAGTGGATCTAAAAACAGTGAAAAAATTGATATAACCAGGTAATTATAAGATTTGTGGGTTGGTATAGAAACTATAAATTTAAGAGAAAAATTAACAGAACAGCTACACTGAACAATAAAAAGATAATAAAAGAATGCATGAGAGGCTGAACAGCTTTAACAAGTTTTGGTACCTAAAACTGTTAAACCAACTGTTTACAACATTACAGTAAAAAAATTTACAATGATGATATGCTTTTATACTATATACATTTATACTACATACTTACATGAATACATATATGCATATGTACACAAAAGTACATATATACACACATACATAAATGCCATGATAACCATGATAACAGACCATATCAAAAATTTCAAACACTCCTTTGACTCTTATAATGCCCCTATTCTCTACCACGAATGGAACACCATTTAAATACGTGTTGCAGAATCTTGTTTCATCACCTTGGACAAATACGCTGTAAGCAAAACAAATGATACCTCTTTACTCTGCGATAATTATCAAGTACTACTCAATAATGTTTGTAAATTTATCTCCTCTCGACAAAACTAATTAATTAAAATTTCAAATTTAAACTGACGTAAAAAAGGCCATACAAATCTTGCCTAACATTACCAGTTCAATTTCAGCCATGAAACCCGAGCCTTACCTACCCACACACAGCAAATTTTGAATGACCCTTAAAAATTTACCCACATGTGTTTTAGATGAGCCTCGGACTCTATAGCATGTACAAGTTGTTGCAGAAATTACTTAACTTTCTACATTTTTATCAAAAAAAATATCATTATTCTTTATATAAAAAAATTTATATAAAAAATATCTACACTTTATATAAAAAAAGGATAAAAATTCATTGTGTTAAGTTAGTTGTGTAAATGTTAGTGCTAATTTGTGTGCTGTGTACACATCTTTAGATGTAAGTTGCCAAAGTTGTATACATATACATATGTATATATATGTGTGTGTATATATATATATAATGTGTGTGTGTATCAGGGTGGTCCTTAAAATGATCATTTTCGAATTTTCTTGCTCCCAGGGGCTCAAATGGTTCCAAATTGATAAAAAACAATTCTCTGAAAGTTTTAGCTCTTAATATTAACGTTTAGATAGAGTGCAATTCAATCAAACTTCGTATGGAAAGAGCATTTAAAAAGTTTTGAAAATGTAAAAAAAATGTTTTAGGTATAACTTAGCGACAAATGAATGAGTTTTATTCATTCATTTGCTCGCTAAATTACATCTAAAAAACATTTTTAAAATTCTTGAAAATTTTTTCATGCTATTTCCATACAAAACTTTGATTGAATTGCGCTCTATTTAAGCATTAATATTAAGAGCTAAAACTTTTAGAGAATTGTTTTTTATCAATTTGGAACCATTTGAGCCCCTGGGAGCAAGGAAATTCGAAAATGACCATTTTAAGGACCACCCTATAGTGTGTATGCATATATGTATGTAATATATGCTTGTGAATATGTGTATATATATGTATGTGTATATGCGTATACATGCCAATGTATATATGTACATGTGTGTATGTATGTACTTTTGTGTACATATGCATATATGTATTCATATGAATATGTATGCGTATATATGTATTTATTTATATGTATATATTTTTCATATATTTTTCTATTTATTATCTAGTTTCTATCATTATTACCTCTACATTCTTTTATCTTTTTGTTTTAAGTGTTGTGTTAATTTTTCTATTATATTTATAGTTTCTATACCAACCCACAAATCTTATAATTACCCGGTTATATCAATTTTTTCATTGTTTTTAGATCTACTGATGATGACATTAAATTGAATGTCGAAACATTTGGAATTGAAGATTAATTTATAAATCCTTGTTTTTTTCTTTGATGTTTTGCCCTATAAGAACTTACTCTTATCTAATCTAATAGTCGTATATGTATATTCATTCACTACATATTTTATTCGCATTTTTTTTATTACTCACTTAATTTATTCTAATTAATATAATAATTACTTAAGAAATTAGTATTTTATTTGTATATTGTGTGCATTTATATCCGAAATATATTTTGTTTCTATGCATTTGTCCATTTTACTTATCATTACTCTATTTTTTGCTAATTGTATTACATTTATAGGTAGTGGAACATTTATTGACTGGATTGGAGCAGCATACTTCTCCTGGTAGTGTCAGAACTTACATCCAATGTTTGGCGTCCATTTGGTATTTATATAAACTGTTATTAAAATAATTTAATATAAAGTTATAACATTTTTTCTTCATGATGATTATATACATGTATAATTAAGCATAATCTTATGTTATTTTATTATGAATTTTGTAGGATTTTTTCAACTAAACTCTTATTAATTTATCAGCAATCAATTAATTCTTATGGCTAAATATAAGGTTTTATCTACTATATATTGTTATTGTAATAGTTATGCATGTTCTTTCTATTAGCCGTCAAGCTGGTCATCGTTTGTGTGGACACATGGAACGTGCAATGGAATTATTAGTTCAATACAGCCGCGAAGAAGATGATGAATTAAGGGAGTATTGTTTACAAGCTTGTGAAGCTTTTGTGAATAAATGTCCGGAACCAATTCATCCACACATACCTACAGTAAGTTACAAAGATAAATATTTTATTTAATAAAGAAAAATTATGAAATTCAATTATTTATCTTCAATAATGTAATGTTTCTTTTTAGATAACTGATTTATGCTTATCATACATTAGCTATGATCCAAATTACAACTATGAAGCAGATGATTCAAATAATGGTGGTTCAAATGAGTTCACTGATAGCTCAGCTATGGATACTGAAGATGAAAATGACGATGGTGACAGTGAGGAATACAGTGATGATGATGATATGAGCTGGAAAGTTAGAAGGTCAGCAGCAAAATGTTTAGAAGCTGTCATAACAAGCAGACCAGAATTGATGGACGAATTTTATAAGGCTGTTAGCCCAGTACTAATATCCAGATTTAAAGGTGTTATTTATATGTTTTTTCTATTTTTTTTATTATTTGTAAAGAGCAGATATTATTTTCTTTTTCCCAATTTACAGAAAGGGAAGAAAATGTGAAGTCAGATATTTTTCATGCTTATATTGCTCTTTTGAAAGCCACTAGGCCCAGCGAAGATAACAGTCTAGAAACTGAACGCATGGAGCAACAAGATAGCCTTTTATCACAACTGCAAGAACAGGTATATATTCAAGTAAATTTATATATATATATATATATATATATATATATACTATAGTATAGTATAGTATAAAAGCATATCATCATTGTAAAAAAATTTACTTTAATGTTGTAAACAGTTGGTTTAACATTTTTAGGTACCAAAACTTGTTAAAGCTGTTCAGCCTCTCATGCGTGAGAAGAGTGTGAAGACCAGACAAGACTGTTTTCTTCTTTTAAGGGAATTACTCTCTGCTCTACCTGGAGCTTTGTCTGAGCACATCAATATATTGATGCCTGGTATACATTACTCTCTTGGCTGTGAAAAAACTACTACAAGTAACATTAAAATTGATGCGCTTAGTTTTCTCAATATTTTACTTTGTTCGCATTCACCAAAAGTTTTCTATGCCCACATTAAAGACCTCTGCGCATTGGTTGTAGTAGCAGTTTCTGATCCTTTTTACAAAATAGCCACAGAAGCTCTTTTAGTTTTACAACAGATTGTTAAGGTTATTCGGCCAATGGAAAATTTAGATGTGCCATTTCAGTTTGCAAGTTTAGTTCCTAATTTATATAAGTCAACTTTGCAAAGATTAAGGACACCAGAGGTGGATCAGGAAGTCAAAGAGAGAGCAATTGCTTGTATGGGTCAATTGATTGCAAATTTGGGAGATTTCTTAAAACCTGAGTTAGATACCTGTTTACCAATTTTCTTAGAAAGATTGAGAAATGAAGTCACAAGACTGAGCACCGTAAAAGCTTTGACAGTAATTGCATCATCACCATTGCAAGTAAATTTGTGTCCAATTCTGCCTGATGTGATTCCAGCTTTAGGCAGTTTTCTACGTAAAAATCAAAGAGCATTGAAGTTAAATTCTTTAACACTGCTAAATACAATAGTTTTAAATTACTGCCACTGTTTTGAATCTGGCTTATTGCTTACTGCAATTGGAGAAATGCAGCCTTTACTCAGTGAATCAGATTTACATGTAACTACAATGACACTAACGGTTTTAACATCTACTGCACAAAAAATGCCATCTGCTTTGATACATGTAAATGAATACATTTTACCAGAAGTCTTACAACTTGTTAGGTCACCTTTACTTCAAGGTAGTGCTTTGAATAGCACTTTATTATTTTTCCAAGCAGTAGTTGCTGCTAATTTACCTAAACTAGGTTATCGTGACCTATTGAGTATGTTAGTTGCACCAGTACTTCAAACTGGCAAAGTACAGCTTCATAAGCAAGCATTCCATTCAATGGCACGTTGTGTTGCTGCATTAACTCTGCAATGTCCAAATGAAGCTGTTCCTGTGGCTAAAGAATTACTACAAGATGTGCAAAGGCCCAGAAGTGATTCACATTTAGTGTTTTGCTTGTTGACAATTGGAGAAATTGGCCGACATATCGATTTGAGTGTAATTGAGCCTTTGCCAACCGTTTTATTAGAAACATTTTCTACGCCTTCTGAGGAAGTAAAAGGTGCAGCAAGCCATGCATTGGGAGCAGTTTGTGTTGGGAATTTAGATTATTATCTTCCCTTCATACTGCAAGAAATAGAAGCACAACCGAAGAAACAGTATTTATTATTGCATTCATTGAAAGAGGTTAGTAAAAGAGAAATAATTGAAAAATTTTATCATTAAATTTCATGAAAAATTCTATGAGGGCAGTGCTTCAAATATTTAAAATATTGCTTTTTTTTTTGTTTAAATGTTACTTGGATTTATAATGCATATTTATAATATAATTGCTAGTGCTTTTTATAATTTAATTCTAAATATAATTTAAAAATCTGTCAACTATTATATTAATAATAGGCTGTTAATCATGTATCACAATTTTTAAATAAATAAAATTATTTCAGGTGATCACTTCGCTTTCTGTGAGTCCTGAAAAATTATCCCGGCTTCTACCTTCGGTACCATCAATTTGGATGCAACTTTTCAGACACTGTGAATGTTCTGAGGAAGGTTCTCGCAATGTAGTGGCTGAATGCTTGGGAAAACTTGTTTTAGTTGATCCACAAAATCTTTTGCAAGAATTGCGACAAGCACTTAATAGTCCATCTGCACTAATGAGAACAACAGTTGTTACTGCAGTGAAGTTTACTATATCAGATCAAGTGAGAAAAATAATATTATTACCATGTAAATCATATTACAGTGCAAATTTTTTATTAAAAAAATAGAACATTAAATAAATTGCTAGTACATGTTGATAATAGAAATGTAAACATAGTTCATCTTATGGAAGATATAAGCTATTTTTGAAAAATTTTATTTTAAAATTCAACTCTATTTCATATAATATTTTAAATAAAAAACTAAATTTAAATAAAACTTTAGGGACAAAAATATTAATAAGATGAATTATTAATTCTCTTTGTTTTAACATCAGCCTCAAGCTGTAGATCCATTACTGAAACAGTGCATAGGACAATTTTTGAGTGCATTGGAAGATCCAGAAGTGTCGGTTCGACGTGTTGCCTTAGTAGCTTTTAACTCTGCCGTACACAATAAACCCTCATTGGTACGAGATTTATTGGTATCATTACTTCCCCAGTTATATGAAGAGACTAAAGTTAAGGTTAGTGCAGTTATATATATACTACAAAATATTTACAAATCCAAGACTATATATATGAGTCTGAATTTGGTGTTGACATATGTATTAACAAAGTTTAATAATTAATCGCCCATGAAATCAATAAAAACCTAAATTTCTTTGAAAAATTTGCTATACATTCATATATTCTGGCTATAATCCCAGCCTTCATTCAGTGGAAACTAAAAATAAAATTTAAAAACTAAAACAATTAAATTGAAAAAAAAAAAAAGAATTATAAAGAGTAAAAAGTTCTTACAATTATTTAATGTTGGTGTTAAAACAGAAAATTCAATAATCGATGGTATCAAGATATGGTAATGAACTACACTATGTAATATAAAAATTTAACTTATAAAAAAACAATATTACACTAACTTAAAAAATCACAAATAGTTAGTGTGCAATATATGTGTTGTCCGTAAACTTTTAATACTTTCAACACAATATAGACTTTTTTAACCAGACTGTACTACAATTCAAAGAAAACCTTTGTATTATTTTTTATTATTTTTGACTGTTGATAACAATAGAGCAATAAATAAATGCAAAACACTAAAAATGTGCACAAAGGTTTTGCAATTAGTTCCACACAAGTATAGAATCATGATAAAAATATTTATTTAAGTCATTTTTCCATTATATCTTTAACTGGTTTACGAACAACACATATATTACACACTATCTATTTGTGACTTTTTTAAGTTAGTATTTTGTGAAATATTGTTTAGTTGCAAATTTAATTTTTATATTACATAGTGTAGTGCATTACCATATCCTGATACCACCACGGATTATTGAATTTTCTATTTTAACACTAATTGTAAGATAAGCTAACTGTGTATGTACTTTTCTTTTTACTCTTTTTTTTTTTTTTTTCAAATTCAATTGTTTTAGATTTTAAATTTTATTTTTAGTTTCCGCTGAATGAAAGGTAAGAAGCCGATGGATGTAAAATAATTTTTATATATATATTATATATATATAGTAATAATTAGATGGCAGATAAAATATAGTACAATTCATAGTTTTTATGAACAGAGTTTAAAATCACAAACTATTATATTTTTTATCTTCTGATTTAATTCAAAAATATTGTACAAATAGAAGAATGTGTTTTAATATTCTAATGAATTTCATTCTTCAATTTTCATAAAGAATACATAATCCGGTTGAAGTAATCTGTTCAACAATTTGGAACAAAAAAATTAAATGCAACTATAGAATTATACCCAAAATGGAATTTGATTTTAACATATTCAATATCTTAAAGAAAAAACTTTATATAAGTTAAATGATAGTGGAAATGAATTGTAACGAAATATGTGTATTAATAATAAGAAAGATTGATACTATATTAAGGCCTGTTTTACAAATGTTAAAAGAATATGTATTTTAATTTATTGCAATATAAATTTAATTAAATTCAATTATAGAAAGAACTAATACGGGAAGTAGAAATGGGACCCTTTAAGCATACTGTTGATGACGGTTTAGATATTAGAAAAGCTGCATTTGAATGTATGTACACATTACTTGAACAAGGGCTGGAAAGAGTGGATGTGTTTCAGTTTCTGGATCATGTTCAAGGAGGATTGCGAGATCATTATGATATAAAAATGTTAACATATTTAATGACTGCCAGACTGGCGCAGCTATGTCCTAATGCTGTATTACAAAGTAAGTTTAGTAAAAGATAAGTAAATTTTAAACTTTATTTTGAACAATATTTTTATATACTTGATAGTGTCAATTTTATTTTATTTGTATTATACAATATAGATTATAAAAGAAATGTTTAACAAATTGTATCTGAAGTAATCAATCATAATGCTATCAATTCCTTTAATTTAAATTTGTATATTTTTTTATTAAATTTAATCATTTGATTATTAACTAATTACTTGATAATTAACAATATGAATAAATGAAGGGTTGGAGCAACTTGTTGAACCATTGAGGGCCACCTGCACACTAAAAGTAAAGGCAAACTCAGTTAAACAAGAATATGAAAAACAAGATGAATTAAAAAGATCTGCCCTTCGAGCTGTTGTTGCTTTATTAGCTATTCCAAAAGCAGGTATGCATGTAATATTCTTGTTTTATTGTTAACTAAAGAAGAGTTTAATCTATTGCAAATAAATATTTTTTTATAAAATAAAAATATAACTTTGCCTATGAAATAGTTTTAAGTTCTAAAAATGTAAAATATCTATACCTATCTTTAAAATAACATTTAGTTCTAGTCAATATTGTTTATAAATGTTTGAAATGATGTTAAAAGTAATGTTATATATGTTTTACATATTTAATACTAATACTATGCCGAATATAACATTTTAATAATACAATGCAATTACCCCAACGTTATACAAAAAAAATCAAAATGCAATTATTTTTTTAATAATAAGATGATATTAATATAAGAAAACAATACTTTTATGCAATATTAAATGATTTTTAAAAATAATTTCATATTTTTGCAGATAAAAATCCTCATCTTAGTGATTTCTTATCCTTGATACGAGCCTCCTCAGATTTACTACCTTTGTATGAGAGTGTACAGAAGGACACCACACTAAATTGTGAGCAGAATAATCAAATGGATCAAAGTTAATAACTTTGCATTCTAAGTTTTAAAAATTCTTTAAGTTATTGCAATTATTGCACTCATTATTGTTAGAAATAAGCTATTAGTATATTTAAGTCATAAGAATTTATTCAGACTGTACATATTGTTTTGAAAGGGAAAAAAAACTGAAAATATTTCATTCTTTATATGCAGTTCTTTATGTTTAAAAACTTTCACATCTACACTTTCTATGTTTTGAACTATTTAAAATATTTCTTATAATTTTGGATATTTTTGTTGTATTGTAGTAGACGATATAGTAGGAATATTAGATATTTATCTGAATCTTTTTTAATTTGTCTTCCTGAATCATTATGTAGGTATGCA